GTCTTGTTGTCGTGGAAGGCCGCCCAGAGCGTGGGTTACTATCAACAGATGTCCGGCCATCTTTGAACCGCTTATACCACTCTTTGATTTGTGTGTTGCTCATATACTCATCCCGAAATGCCTTCTTCATCATATCGATGGTTTCCGCACAACTCTTTTCGAATTTTAAGCAAATCATCCCTCATTTTTCACAACAGCAGAATGCGACGAACGTAAAAAACGCTTCGTAAACAAATGCACGTCGCACATGAACTAAGGCGTCCCACAGTGTATCGTTTGGCCAATCTAGCGGGACAAAAATCAATTTTGCAACTTGCACAGATATGTCCGCTGACATTATGTATCGATAGTAAAATGTCCATTTTATAAGAAAATAACAATATTAATGTAAAAAACAATGTGTAATGATCTGTTAATAGTATCTGAAAATCTAGTTTGACGCAACTGCCGCTACGAGCACTTTTTGCGCGTTTGAGAGTTTTGACAATTGTGTTGCACCAGTATCCAATATTAATATTTGTGTGTACGTAGTGTTATCTTCTATCATTCAGAATAATTTCTACACTTGTCATATTTTGAAATAGCATTTTATTAATCTTTTATACCTTTTCAAATGTTAGCATATAATTTAAATTCTATTTCACAGTATAGGTAGACTTTTAACATAGTATAGCACTTTATATAATGTTCCCACTTTTTGTGTCGAAAGCTAGACTTATAAGGAACATAAATCTGAAAGGGCATTACAGACAAACACTGACATCTATCATTTTTATTTAAACATATCGCGCTGACGCATGCCCTTCTCGTTAAAACGAAATAGCTTCAAAAATGGATACTAACAGGGATTTATTCAACAGATTATTAATTTCTTCAGATCCGCTTATTTCACATTTACGAATGGAAATCGCTAACACAAAAAAGTGCCCTTTTTGTATTTGGATTCCTCATAAAAACATTATACAAGTCTCATAAAACTCGGAAATTATCACTTCGGAATGGTACCTTGTAAATCTTCCAGAGTTTTTAGCTATTGAATAGTACGCTATTGAATAAACGAATTCGCATTCGTTTTATACCTGTGGCATTTCCTACTCCACGTTGCAATTAGCCTAAACTTGGTTCAGTATATGACACTGCGATAAAATTCACCAGCAGAAAATTAGTTTTTCGTATCCCAACAACTATGAGGACAAGGGACGGAAATTTTTGAAGTACGTACGCGAATCAAATATAAACGAGCCATTTTTTAAAATAGAGCTTATTTTGTAGATATTATTTACGTATTATTTATCTCTTGTTTAATGCCTATTAAACGACTTCTTTATTCTAATAATGCCTATTAAACGACTTCAGTTGCTTAATCACACATAAAAATATTTGCAATACACTGTTTGTCTATGAACGTGATTCATTTGTGTCAGACGTTTTCGAAGTGCGAGTCATAATAAGTTTCTTTTTAATTTCGGAGCATTGTTCGTAAGACATCAAGGGGACAACTTTATGATACAGCCAAATATTCATAGAATCATTCGTAAACCGTTAGTTTCTCTTCTTTTTGAGTTCAGCAGGCCCATAAGGGAAAAACATCTATTGTCTATTTTTTTGCGTTAGCCCGGGTATCATAAAGTCATATTCCAGAGGGTTCCTTAGAATTTCAGAAATTAGTATCCACAAGGATCTTGACCTGATGGAATCCCCAATGTTGCCAAACATTTATTAACGTTAGTGACTAGCCCGTCACCCTGGCTCCAGGGATGTACGGACTGCAAGGGGATGGCACGGTATTGGTCAACATAATTTTAAGAAATGTAA